GGACAATTGACAATTGTGGCAAGATTTTAGGCAACCTCCTTAATGAACAAATCTTGAGGGAAATAATGATCACTTATGTTGCAATGATAACTCTGGAAGTGTTTGGAAGCTGATCTATCTTTCATCTTCACTGCATAAGTATGCATTAACTGCTCAACTCACGTGTTTATGTTTATGTTACGGCAGAAAAATAAGAAAGCCTGAGGGCTGTCAGAAAACAATTCTAAAAATACTAACTCACTAAAGCTGTTCTCATCAAATCTATTGATTTGATTCATAAAACAAAACCCAGGAATTTAGGTTCACTAACCTGCAGGTCTTCCTTAAGGTCAATTCTATGGGGACCTGCTGAATGTATTTAGAAAACATCTGAAGCACAGATGCATTAACAGCAAATGGGTAACTTTAGAGTGATCTCGGTCAGCACACTATCTGCATGGAGTTTGCATGTCCTCCCTGTGCTTCTGCAGGGTTTCTTCCAGGTACTCTGGTTTCCTCCCATACTCCAAAGACATGCTGCAAGGTTTATTGGCTCCTGTCTAAATTGGTCCTGTGTGCAATAGGGACCTTAGATTGTAAGCTCCCCTAAGGCAGGGACTGATGTAAATGTGCAGTATTTAAAGCATTGTGTAAATACCTGTAATAAATAAGTTTTAAACTGTTCATTTTATTTAAAGTGTATGTAACCCCTCTATTTTGCAGTGTATTTGGAATCATGTATCCCTGTATACAGTTACAGAACGAATGTTCAGAAAGATTTACAGGGCGAATGGCTCTGGGACTTGTTTATAAATAAACCCCTATAGTTGTCAGCCTGCAACAGAAAATTATGTTACTGTCAGGATCTCCAGGTAACAAACTTTTCAACACATTCACACAAAAAAAATGTACTCAAGAAAACTGTATACAGTGAGCCATAATACTAAAAAAAATTGATTAAGGGTTTACAGGGTAAATGGAAGATATGCCTACTTATAGGTACCAGAAATACGGAAAGTTACAGCAGTCAACCTATCTTAGTCCCTTCTTCAATTCCTGATTCAGGAGAAGATCAAAGTCCTACTTAAAGGATATATCTAACACCTTTAAATGCTATTTAAACTTAAGTTCATTTCTTATAGCTCTAGTTCAACAAAATGTAAAAATTGCTTGGATTGTGTAGTGTACACAATCAAGTTCACTTATGATGGCTCTCTCATTTTTACATGTGGCAGAGGCAACGGAAAGGACTACATCTAGTACATTTGTCTGTGGTATGTCATATCAGAGTCCTATCCTGTACTACTGATAACACAAACTCTGTTTAAGCACACTAAGGACAAATGTAGTTGATTTTAGACATGTTCATTGAACAGTGCTGATTGTTCAACAAAGCATGGCTTTGCATTAACATAATATAAAGGGTAAAAACTATTTGACACTCTGGCGTTACTAAAGGAACAGAGACTGTGGTTTTTAAAAAGTGAATAATTGTTAATAAGGCATCCCTGAGTTCACACTAGGCCCGTGTGTGATGGTGTGAATACTCACTCTGTAAATGTTAGTACAGCAACCCCACTGTTTCTTCTAAACTGTTAGCAGAGCTGCACAGATAAATATCTCTGCTTTTCTGCCTGCCCTCCCAGGGGTTCTCTGATACTGCCATATGACCTGTGACAATTCCCTCTAGAGCCAAAGGACTTCTGCAAGGGCTGGCAAAAGAGGAGAGTGATATCCCTGCATAGCACTGTTGAACCGGTGAGTTGCCTAATGAATACATGTATTGGCTTATCCCCTACCCTGCCCAGGTCACAGGGCTCCATGCACCAGCAATCCAGCTCTGACTTTACCAGTTACTTTAAACTGAAAATTATTTTTTTCCCAGATGTAAAGCTCTCCTTGAGAAATTTAAAGTGGTAAGTAGTCATTCATATTATAATCAATATCAATATTAAAAATTGCTAAATAATTATTTGAGTTTTTATTCTGAAATCATAACATTTCATTTGTAAATCTTAATACTGTAAGTTATTGGTTTGCAGCATTTTTCATTTAGAAAGTGTCATGCATTATCTGTGTCATGCAACAAACTAAATTAGGATAACCAGAAGCATTTAAAAAAAAGAAAACACAATGCATGCAAATATTTATTAGACAGCGCATATACATTTATTAAATGCCAAAAAGACAGGAAAGCACAAAAGTGGAAGCACATATTTCACGACATTTACAAACACTAATCTGGTCAGAAAAACACAAAATTAGGATACAGTAGCTTGATGTATCCATGTTTATTTAAATCACTCCTTGCTGCTGCAAAATTATAGCATGTTGCAAAGCAGACTGTGCATGTGCTTGAAGCAGCAAGAAGCCAGAGATAGGAGCTTTACATGTATTTCTACAATACAAATGGGAGAGATTAATATTTGTGACAAATAAAATATAGTTTGCAGATATTTGTATTTGTGACTAAAAATTAGTTTGTTTGTTAGTTAATATAAAGTTCATGTTAGTCACCAACATTAATAGTTAAAATGTATGGTGTAGTTATTTTAAATAATGAAAAAACTGTTGTAGCAAAATAGATTTGATATATATATATAT